CGGGGGGGGGGGGGGAAGCTGAATCAGATTTTAGGTAGAATGGGGCTCTGTTCCAGACGAGACGAAGGATATTTCAGGACAGTGGACAACTGGGAAGGTCATCTACTAATCACGTTATCTCTGAACGAGTAATTGAAGCAGATTATCAAAAAACCTTTTTCTTCTCAGCTCTTGGTTGATAGTGCCTGATGTTTTCAGATGCTTTCACTGACATCTGGCAGTAGTTCAAACACTGACTAATATTCTGTCTCTGTTAGTCAAAAAACGTCAGTAAAAGTGGATTTCATCATCATCAAAGAAAATTTTCATTTGTTTGAAACTTTCCAGTGATTTTCATAGGAAAAACCAGAATATTCCTAGTTTAGATAGCCAATTATCATTTTCCAAGACACTTTCCAGCACTCTGGTTTATTTTTTCCTGATAAAATTAAGCTAATTTACCTTTTTGATCACTGTTCTTACAAAGGGAAGAGCAATTCCCCACCTTACATATGCTTGACCTGGGCTTTGGCACCAGTTTATCTTACTTTTTCTGAAGAACAGGTAGAACAGGGTACAAGTGGAGCAAAGCCTCTTCTGCTGGGACTCGGTTACCGGTTACTGGAGCTTCAAAGCAGCAGGTTTATGCATCCCAGTGACTCAAACGCGCGCTCTGCTGCACGAGGGAGTAGGTAACTTCAGCCTTTTTCTCTTAGGAGCCAATGTGACTCCTCTCTGCAGCACACGCATCGTCGTTTGCTCGGAGTCGCGCACAAAGACAGCGCCGACGGCAGGACCAGGGAACATCCCGGATTTAGTTCCGCGTCAGAGGCCAAGGGAAGGCTGGGAGCCATCAGCCCAAGTTTTGGGGTTTGACTATGTGCTTTGACCACTGTGTGCTACTAACAAAAAGGGGGGGTTTCCCAAAAGGAATCTACAGCTCTCCTACCTTTTGACTCCTTTCCTCCCCCAAAGAGGAGTAAATTCCCACACAGGCATTGTCTACTTATTAATTAGCTGCGATAAGAGAATGGTCAGCACAGACGGTTACTATCTTCTTGTGTGATTGAGAAAGTCTAGATCTGCCTCTACCAAATTGTGGACGGACGTCTGACAGACAAGCGTGAAGGCTTGATTTGAAAAACTGTCACACTGCACATAATTAACCTTTTTTTGAAGTGTTCTTGCTCTAACAGCACCTTGAGAGACCCGTAAAGATGGTAAGGAATGAAGCATACTGAATACTCTGAAATTAAGATCATTTCCCCCCCTTGTTTACAGTACAAAAATTTTATTTTTCGTTAGGATAATTTAAAGTTTAAAACTGAAGTAGACATATTCATTTTACAAACAAGATATTCTTCCATAAGTAGGACCATTAAAAACAGTAAACAAAAAAGCTATCTTTACAAAAGCTCTGTGCATAGCAACTTCATACCGTATGTAACTGACAAAGCAAAAAACCAAAAAAACAACCAGCCAACCCCAAACAAACCCCAAAACTATACAGTAGGGAGAAATGAGGCCTTAATTTACAGAAGGGAGCAAACGGTCTCTAAAAACCATGCATATTGGAGTGTGCAAAGGAACAGGGAGAGTAAGATGCTGTACCAAGATAAATAATGAAATAAAACACAAACCCTTTTGAAGTTACGATAAAATTTGTGGTTACTTATCGCAACGCTTTCATCTTTCTAGTGGCAAAAAGGAAAGCTGTTAGGAAATATCGAACAGCAATAACTAAAAGAGGACAGAATTGCTTATTACATTGAAAAAAATCCTTACACATAAATTTTTACATGACTTTTCCTTTTTCTTGGGTGCTTTGCCACTGCCAAAGTCCTTCCTTCATGGTCAAGGATTTCTGATTGTGTTTATTTACACACGTTTTTCTTTGTAAAGCTACCAGTAAGTTCTACGCTCATCTTGAGTATGATGATTTCCATGCATGAGGAAAAATCCATGTTCTAAATCGTTCCTATGTTGAATTTTTTTCATTTGTTTGGCTCAAATCAAACCAGAAAAAATGTTTTTCCATGTTTACATCAACACAGGCAGCTACATTTGTTTCTCTTCCTACAAGTACTCGCAGAAGCTTTCTAGGGAGACTTTCATTTGGACTCATGGCTCTCCCACCTGAGCACTGGATGGAGCTAATAATAAGTGAAGTGTGACAGGAATGTTGAGCATTTCAGAACCTTTTTTCAGGCAGTCATCTTTTTCCCTGAATCTTCCCAAGGCTTCAGTGATCTTTTTAACGTGCCTATGCTGACTAAGCAATAATGAAAAAGAAGGGCCGACAATTAACAGAACAGCTTTTTTTCCATGAAATATCTCAATTTCTTAAATTGGAAACCTTTCTGACTGAGACTTTGTAATGAAAATCTTATTTGCTGAAAAACGTGAGAGGAGTTAAGGTAGCGAGCTGCTGCCCTTCAGCATGTGGTCTAGAAATTCCTGCCTATCAGGAATATTTTCTGGGTATGGCATTTTAAAATTTTAAAAGTAACCTGTACAGAGAAGAGTGGTGGGGGGAGGAAATCCAACATCTTTATGCTTTGGAGCTGTTTGGGTTTTTTTAGTAGCTCAAAGAGGAGGAAGGGAGCGAACGCACCAGAAATGAGCCTGATCCATCAAAGTATGTTTTTGAAATCTAGGACTTGATGTAGTATTCACTGAAATTTATAGAAGTCTTAATCCCAGCTCTAATGATCCTCAATCTATTCATTTTTCCAGTATGCTTGCAGAATTCCAAACATGAATTTGTACCTCCTGCTCTTAGCCTTGCTGGGATATCAGTACCTATGAACATGTGACATACTTTTTCATTTGTTTTTTTTTAGTTCTGAGTAACAAGGATCGGGTCAGACAGGGTGCCCTGCTGTGTTGGCAAAGGTGGCCGTGCAGCAGCACAGTTACAGCTCCAGACACCTGTGATCGTTCCGTACGTCAGAGATCACTTGGCTTCAAGGTTGGTTGCCTCCTACTTCCATGACAGCACCAAGGGCAGGCAAAGAACCTGCAGTGTCAATGAACTTGCAACCATAATGAATGGTGAGTTATTTTGTTTCATCTTTTCTGGAATGTAGACACTTTCAGTACCCTGACTAACTGTATTCATGCTTCTTAAAAGCATGTTATTCCCACCAAATCCTCTTTAAAGTTGCTTCTAATTGTCATTTTTGCTGATGTGAAAGATAGCCTTCTTAGAAGACCCTAGAATCCCCTTCACCTTTGAAAAACGGAATTCAGTAGCATTGCAAAGGCACCTCATGAAGCCCCTACCAAAACCTCACAGCACAGTCAGGAGTAGTACAGAGCTGCTTCCCAACAAGTGCATCCTGGAGGAATGACAGGAGTAGCCCACTGTCCTTGTCCATCCTGTCTCTGGATTTCTCTGGTTAAGAAGCACATCCGTCCATCTTCACGTACCTCAAACACCCTTTTCTCCTAACTGCACCCTGCGCTGAGAGCTGAGCTTCACGGAAGCCCCGCTCCCACGCGGTCCGCAGGGCCAGGCCAGTCGGCGTCGCGCTGAGAGCTGAGCTTCACGGAAGCCCCGCGGTCCGCAGGGCCAGGCCAGTCGGCGTTCCTGCGCTGGGCTATTCCAGGGAACGATCTTCCATGTTTGCAAAGCAGCCCTGTGCCAAAAGCCCGTCCGAGAGGTGGGGGTCCATCAAATCACGTACCACACCCACCACCAAGCCTCCTGGTCACAAATCACTGCAGCTGGATTGAACCACGGATGTGGACAGAGGCTTCCTAGTCTATTCCTAATCCAAATCAGCTCCACGGTGGCTCCAAGTGAGCTCCAGATTGCCTCAGCCGTGCAAGTTGTCACAGTCGTTCACCAGCCTGAGCCTGGGCTGACCTGAACATCTGCTCTAGCTAAGGACCACCGAGAACACTATTTTCCTTCCCCATGGATACAACTGCTGGGCAAAGGGACAAGGACAGTTTCAGAGGCCGTACATGGAGGCTTTCTTAACATAAAGATTATTATAGGAACAATTATTTGTGCAGCTGTGAATCGTGTGTATTTTAGTGGGTGTAAGTAGTGTAGCTGATTTTTTTTCATTTCTTAAAAAATGGCTTTCCAACAATCAAATTCTTCTGAGTGGTCTCAGGTTTAGCCAGATAACTGGCGATGTCTTGTACCAGACGTGTTCTCACTTCCCAATTTCAGGAGATGCAAAGGAGAACTAAACTTTTTTTTTTTTTACACTAAAATGCAGAAAAATTCAAAGCAATTGATTACTTCTATGAACTTCGATATATAAATGGAAAATACTTACCATTTTTAATGACTCAGGATAAAAGTGCATAAATTATTCAAATACATATTTACCCTTTATAAATGCACCCTTAGTATGAAGGATAACTGAACTTAAGGTGTTCTAACTACACAGAAAAACAGTATGTTAGAGAACCCTTTCCCTCCTAATTCATACATTGAATCTATAGAATAAACTCCAGTACCTCCGGAAAAACCTGGTTCGTTCCAATCCCCAAGTGCCACTCGTTTGCCAACGGGGTCTTTGAAACTCACCAGTTAATCTTAGTACCTGAATATTTTAATTGAAACAAAAAATGGAAAGGGGAAAGCTGATGAGGAGGAAAATTCATACATGAATTAGTGACCTGTATACCACAACGTATGGAAAAGTTTCTGATGATTTTGTTAATCAGAAAGAATCCTATACATCCTTGCACATGAATTCAGTAAGAGGGAAGAAGTGAGGAGTAATTGCAGCAGTAATAATATATCTCAAACTTATCACTACATTTTTGCATCATTTTTCTTCATTGTACAACTGGAGGAAAAAATCCAAAAAAGGGTTTAATTTCTACCTCTACATACAATAAGTTACAAGTTTATTTAAATAATTGTAAAACATCTTACATTTTTTAAAGAGGTTAAACTATAAGCAAATACACACATACACCAAAGTTCCATCATTCATGTCAGTTTGTCCTAGAAATTCTTTCATGCTGGTACCCTGTTTTGTTGAATTTTTTTTTCTGCATAAACTAAATCGATATCTGAAAGGCTCCATAGAAAATAGAAACTTCAACGTTTTTCCCCTACAAAGTAAAACAAATTGTATCCAAAATATCAAGCTTGAATCATTTTGCCAATTTCTTTCTCCTTTTCATATTTTACAAATCTTAGGAAGGTTTCACGTCTTTCCAGAAAGACTTTGCATTTCTGATTCCGTTCTGCCAACTGTTGTTCATCCTGGCTCTTGGCTGATTCTTCGGTCACAATGTGTTAGGAGTTGACGTGGTTGTGTCAGAAATATGAAACAGGTAAAAGATGCAGACTTCTATCTTGTCCAATCCATAAAAAATGTTCCTTTTTTTTTTTTTTCCTGGGCCTGGCTTTCCCCCAAAAAAGAGCTTGTAGTGCTATTTTTTTCTTTTTAGTGGTCCATCACAATAAGTAGTTTTGTGCTGTAAAAGAAAAATGAAAAAAAAGAGGAAAAAAGGGAAGAGGGAGAGGAGCAAAGCTGCCTCTGCCTTACATCGGGGGAACGACAAGACCAGTCATGGCTGAAAAAGAAAATTGACAAAGATGAAATTCTGGCAAATTTTTGTCAACAAAATAGATTTGAGCCCTTCACCCTTCTATGTGTGGTCATTTATTGCAGCAATGGCCTTTTCTGCAGGTTAAACTGTTACATTAAAAGACATTCGGTTTCTTTTAATGTTTTTATGCTTTGGTGAGAACCACCACGGTGAGACTGACCACAGACAATGGACAATGGGCCGTTTCACACAAATTTTGGTAAATTCACCAGAAGCCAAGGCCCACTGTGGTTCTTGAACAGATAAAGGAGAGAGAGGATTAGTTCAAGTCTCAGTACATGAATTTTCAGAAACGCCTACCCATTTTTGGGTGCTTATCTCCTGAGAGATGTCCTTGGGGATGGACATTGCTCGGAACCATCCCCAAAAATTCAGCCTTCTCATGCTTTGTCAAGTCCAACACTCAAAATCGTTCCTGAACACCAGACTCAAGCAGAGTCTTCCCTTTCCCACTCAGCCTGCTCCTTTGCTTGCGGAGAGGGTTATGTTTGAGTGAGGAAAGATGGGAAAGCAAATGGGAATTTGCCCGTGCGCTGCCTCCGGGACCCAGCCGGAGGATTACACGTCCCGATTCACTGGACGATGACCAGCGCTCGGCTTTGCTAATTTAGTTTCCGTGGAAATCAAGGACCAGCCTCTCTTTCTCGCTTGGTTTGCCCCGTATGTCTGAATCGCTGTAGTCTTACCTGGCACGTTCCCAGAACACTGGGCTTATGTAAATTATTTATTAGTCACTCTCACTGCCTTTAATTGCAGCTATATCCTTCATAACTGACATCAGCAACACTGGAAGCTGCCTGGAACTGGTGCTGTTCCCAAAGGTTCTGAGGGGTAAGTTCAGTTTATACGTATTTATGTAACAAATGAGTGAGTCATGTTTTCAAAGGGGCCTCAACGCAGTGCAAGGTCCTAATCCTGCAAAGATTTATGTTCACTGAAATTTGTGGGATTATTCATGTGTTTAAAGCCTTGTCCTCGGAGAATTAATTTCACCCTTATGTTCATAGTGTTTAAAAAAATGCTTAGGGCAAGATCCTCAGCTAACATGACTCTTTTATTGGAGCCGTGTTGATTTTAAACAACTGTGGATATGGTCTATGATTTAATACAATAGGAAAATAAATATTTTCATATTTTGTAACTGACCAGGGCTAGAAGTTGCTGCCAATTTTGGCAGACAGCTGAAAGAGAAAGTGAAACCGAACAGTCCTAAGGCAAATATCTCCTTTTTTTAATTGCTTAAGAATTTGCTATTATTTTTCAAACTGGCAATTTACAGAACCCAAAGTAGGTAACTATTGGTATGGCTGTTTTGGGGCGGGGGCGGTGTGTGTGCATTAGAAGAAGAGATTTTCTGGTAACACTAAGGAGGCTGCTCCTTTCCTTCTCCTCACCCCCAAACCAAAAAACCCATCCCAACAGTAGTGTCCCAGCCTGACGCTGGAGAGCCTTCTCCCCGTGTGTCACCACATGCCTGCCTTTCTGCCCGCTGGAAAAGAACACTTGATTACGTCTTGGATTGATGCCCTCCTCTAGACTCTGCTGGGCTGGTGGCAGAGGTAAGCGCGTGCCCTCAGCTGCTCACCGCCATCCCACAGGTATCCCAGTGGAGCACTCCCTGATCTGCTCCAGGCAAAATCATCCAGGTTAGCTCAAAGAATTTAAACTGTTTGTCTAAGGGAACCTGGCCAGGTCTTTTGCCTGAAGCAATCAGAGCAGCACTTACACAGTGCCCGGCCACTCCTGTGTGCAGTTACCTTTTCTCCTGGCACAGCCGGAGTCATCCCTGTCTGTGGCTGTTCAGGTTGTCCGTGCAGAGACAGCAGACCCTGGTACAGCCAGAGTTGGGTCAGTTTGAGACAAGCAGGGTCTGTTGTCAATGTAGTTTAAACTGTGTTCCCACGGGGAATAGGCCATATTGGCATAAATGCTTTTTCTGATATTATTATCAACGTTATTTTCATTTCTTTAATCAAGGAAAACTTCTTCCAGCAGATCAAAGCAAAGACCAAGCCTGAATTTCTGCCATGTTACTTCAAAAATATTTTCAGACAACTTGTAAAAGCAGCATTTTTGAAAGTTCATTAAATTTAAAGGAAGGTACAGTTCTACTGTACAGTTAAAGACATGATGTTATCCAGCAGTCCTGGACTCAAACTAGTGATGGCAACAGCAAAACTGCCATCTGCAATCAGGTATGTTATCACCCCTGGGGTTCTGGGGATCCTTATTCTGCCTCCTTTCCTTTCCTCCTGAGCTGCTTTCCTCTCCTTACTTTTGCCTGCCCCCTGCCCAAGTCTGTTTTGTCATTCCAGGTTGTAGGTGCTCCAGAGCAGAGATGCTCCTCAGAAGTCATTAGGATGGAACCTGCCAGTGGATAAGTTCAGGTAAAACTGTAACATAACACAGAAAGGACACACCAAGCCTTTCGCAAATTGCTTCACTGGCATTTCATCCTGATGTTGCAACTTCACCTCCTTCTGCAACAAAGAACAAGTAGGCTGAGGAGTACTGGCTGGAATTCTCACCTGGTTTTCCACAGCTCGTCTAACGGCTTTGCTCTGTGGTTCTCTCTCTTTTTACATCCCCTCATCCATCCATTTCCACCCCACCTCCGCTCCCCTTTGGGGCTGCCCTGTCAAAAGCCTATTCCCAGCCTGTATCGCTTTTTATTGAATGTTTGTGAGGTTTGGATTAAGGTCTTACACTGCTAGCAAAGCTGTAATTATTTTTGCCTGTATTACTATATATTGAATCGATGTAACTTTTCAATAAAGGTGGTTCAATGCAGGACACTCCCTGATGAGTTGGGAATATAGAAACCACAGTCATTATCCCAGAGGGTCTTTTTTTTTTCTTGGAGGGAAATGGAAAAAGAATTAGAGATGAGCCTTATTGTATTAACCTTGACAGCTTGCAATTATCAACTGAAACACTTGATTAAAATTGTCACAAGGTTGGAGGGTTTTTTTTTTATAAATAAATAATCAAACACGGATAGGACCCAGATGCTACGGTGATAGGCACCTTTAATGGGTGTAATTAATAATGATCATAAGCCTGGTGTATACAAGTGGCCCTGAAAACGCTGCCTGGCTTTGTAGTGGAAAAGAACTCTGCCATTTGGTGAGAACTGGGAAGGGGCTTAGTGCTGTATTAGTGCACACACTGAGGGAGCTCCTCAGGTACCACAGGTGCTTCGGTGGTGTCTAAATTACGACCTGTTTTAAAAGCTGTGCTCTCTAGAGAAGATGGGTGTTGAGCACTTCCAATCCCTGTCATGTGAAACATCTCGTTCCCTCGTTTGCTTTTCCTCTTTTGCCACGAAGTTTCCAGCATACTCCGATTTTAGGGTTCTACAGCTCTTTGAAGAGGCAACCAAGTGCTCCAGGGGTGCTGCTCTGAGCACCAGAAATGAACGTTCCTACCCTGTAATGCCAGAAACATCTCCGTGCCTGAGCTCTCCTGCGTACAAAGGTAGGTTTGCACATGACAAGCCACCAAGCTGCTGGTGGCAGAGGTAGCTTCTGTGTGATTTGGTCTAACAAAGGTGCAATTTATACCTGCAGGCTTCCCCTGATCGACACGATTCCCAGCATGGCTACCACTAGAAAATGTGCAGGTTTACTTTCAATATTAAGACCACAGGGACATTTGTAAAGCAACACACCCATTTATTAGCTATCATTTGTTATTATGTAACTAATGATAGAGAAAATAAAGGATTTGGTGAGGAAAACAGAGCTGACTCTCATTCAGCAGAAAACTCCAGTGGCTTGGATGAAGAGCACCATCACCCTTTATGCTAGGAATGTAAGTGAATGAAATTACAGCTTCTGTGAAAGACCTGTGAAGGCTGGTTCCAACTAAGACACTAAAAAGTAGCCAAAAGCTTCAAGTTTTTCCCTAAAGAATTTATTTTTCTTTTTTCCTCCATAGGAAATTAACTTTCCTGATCGTCTAACTACTGACAGGTAAGATATTTATCAATAAGCAGTGATTTTGTCTCTTTTTAGTAGGTTAAACCACATTTTATGTAACACATTTTTAAAATAATCTAAACAAAACCTTGGACAGGTAAGAGATGGAGCTCTTGGCCTCATCTCTCGAGTCACATTGATGTAGTTACGGTCTCACCGTGGTGCTAAGCCGTGTGTTCACAAAGGGCTGCCTGAACAACTGTTTTGATTTAGTTCAAGTTAATTAGGAACACCCTTAAAATCAAAATATGTGTTTGCAAAACCATACACGTGTTAGTTTAACTGTTAAAGAGCACTGGAATGTACAGCCACTCTACAGTTACATATTATTCATTAGAAAGTGGCCAAGTTTTTATCTGGAGGAATAAAGTTTTTTCAAGGAGAAACCAGTACTGACCCTGACCCAGTATCCTTTTTCGTGTGTGACATTTCACTGTCTTGAATATTTTCTTCCATTAGAAAAGGCAGATTTTTGTTTTCTCCCTTTAAAAATGGAGCTCTTGTCTAGCCCAAATAAGTCTGTGACATGTGATGAGCTACTAAAATTAACATCCCATCATATGAAAGATAAGTAATTAATAGTAACAGGAGATATTTTTGTTTAGTTAAGTGTTAGCAAGAAGTTTTAAATATGTCTTAAGGTTTTCTTTATTTTGAAGCAGTCTGTGCTGCTTACATCTCTGCCAATAAACTGGGAGAAAAACGTACTCGATCCTTCCAATATATCAAATTTAATCAGATGACAGATACATATTTTTCATACATACTGACATCACATATGTGTCATTTGCAGCCTTTGGCATACTCAAATCACTGTCTGGGCTCTGGAATCGCTCTGATTCAGGCAGAAGCATTTTGCTGACCATTCCTAGCGTGGAATTGGCCCAGTTCTTTTTACCTGCTTCGAATCCTTGTTAAGAGTTATTCCAAAATGCTGTGTCCTAAGCGTTCACTGGAGGTGGGCTTTGCCAAGCGGTCAGGCGCTGGCCTGGGAGCAGTCAGGAACCACTGCTTTGTAAATGTGAACCTGCTGTTTCATCTCAATCTCACCCCTTAAACCTTTCAGAGCAACTGCTTCCCTCTTCACTTGCTTGCACAGCCTTCAAATGCCAGGGGACTGGAAGCCCCAGTGCTGTTGACACTCCCACCTTGGTCAAGACAAGATATTAATAATCAGGGTCTTCAACTCCAATACCTGTATGTCTTTAGGGAACAGTGCAGGTGTCCCCTTTACTAAACTGAGGCTGTTCCTAAGGGTATCAGACTTCGCTACCTTTCGGGTTGGCTAGGATCCTGATGGTTGATGGAACATCTGACCTTCTGGGGCTTGCCTGCTAGTCCTTGTAACTGAGCTTGCATTTTTATGTTGAGATGTGCTGAGCTGGCCAAAGGTAATCTGGGCAGTCAGCGGCCCATGCTGTTCCAGCAGTTTCCAATTTGCTTGCTTTTCCCATCAGCTGCCTTCCCTCTGAGATGAGCTGATGAGGCATTTGCGTACTCATCATGCCGTGTTGCGTCACGTCACATTGCATCTTCCCAGGGCCTTTTTTAAACGGCCTTGACACATGACATGAACGGAGCACACGACTGTTCTGATCTGGATCACCTGCTCTCAATTTGGAGAGCATATAGAAGTGAGTGGTGTCCAGTATGGACTGCTGCTTGTTCTCTACCTCTCATGTCCTGTTACACTGTAAGAATGTATAGCAGATGGCAGGTGAAAGAGGTAAGCAGGAACACATGGCACAGGGGTTATCCGAGGGTGTTCCACGTCTCAGCCGTGTTGTGCAGCCCAAAGCTGAACGTAGATACCCAAGTTTCATGCTTAGCTAATACTTTGGAGTTATTTTCTACCAGCTGTCCTACTGTCTCCAGCAGCTTTTAAGCATCACTAAGCCTTTCCTCCCAAAATACATTTTCAAAAAAGAAATATTCCAGCGGTACTGTAAACTGCATGGAATAATGGGAATGCTAATCTGAGGATGAAGCTTGTACAGCTCCTCCTGTCTAATCCAGACTTAAACACTGCTGTGGTTAACATACATGGAAGCTATATTCCAGATTTTCATTGCTGCTTGTAAGTAGAGTAGCATGCCCTGAGGTGCTGGCAGTATTTCTAATATTCTCATCGCACCAGGATGCAGTGAGTAGGATGGAGACTGTATCACCAGGAAATTTTTGGCTTTGAACAAAAGATGTAGCCAAAGTACACTGCAAACATTACATTAAAGCTCAAAAAATCCCCACTGGGGAGATGTTTTCCCCATATTATGGGTGGGGAAATTGAGAGGTAGTGTCAAAACGCTTGCCTGGTGTGCTTTGGGAAGGAGCCTGCATATACTTACTGCTTGCTCTGTGCTTTTGCTGTTCTGTCTCCATCAGTATTTACTGATGCCAAAGTTTGATAAATAAATAAATTACATGACCAGCACATCTATTCTTAGTTTACAGTTCAGGGCGATGGCGTAGCAGGGGAGATTAATCATCTCCCATTGCTGCAGCACGGTAAGTCCATTCAAGAAGCCTCTTTGGGACCCTCCTGTTGACTTTCTGGCCACATCTGTCTGTCAACACTGTGGGAACGTTAATTTGGATATCAGGCTGCATGTACCTGGAGCCTTTCCAAAGCATGTGCTCCCCAGCTTGCATCAATTTAAATATTTCAGTCAGGAAGAAGAATTTGCATCTATGGCTGAAATAGTTAAAAGACCTTGCATGACAAACCTTGGGCAGGCGTGCTTGACTCTGTGAAGCCACTGTGACCTTTGCTGTGAGTCACATCTGTTGTTGCTTGTTGTTGCAGACTGACTAGTGCCGTTGTACTAGGTACTGACTCTTCTGGAAACTTACTTAAATAACAGTAGTAGCATATTACTGTGTTGATGTATCAGGGTGTTGATGTACAAGGACATCTTCCACCCCTGCGAGTGTTCAAGGCCAGGTTGGATGAGGCTTTGAGTGACCTGGTGTAGTGGAAGGTGTCCCTGCCCATGGCAGGAGGTTGGAACTAAATGATCTTGAAGATCCCTTCCAACCCAAACCAGTCTATGATTCTATGATCTCCCACAAAGGAAGGGATAATAACAGTTAATAACTTTTGTATTGGCTTATCCATGCCCAGGACTCTCCACCTCTCCATGCATAAGCTATTTCCGTAAATAATCATAACCTTAACTCACAGATTAATCCTGAACACCTCAAGAGTGGACTGTTGTCAGTAAAAATGCATGCGAAGACTGGGGATTTTAGCTTTCAGATTTTATGTTATACTTAATATTAAGGTTTCATTTTTAGAATATCTTATTGATTACTAATTTATAGCTTGGATAAAATATGTTGTACACTAAACGGCATCAACTGGTCTCTAGTCCTTTACGTGTTTACAGAAGGGTTAAAAAAAGATAAACTCTTGCTAAGCAGAGTCTTGAGCAGACAGGACAGACACGGTAGGTTAAGAAAAAGTATTAACTTTTAAGAGCCTTTTTTTAAAAGTCAGTGTTTTTTAATCTGTCCTTTTTCTGTCTCCCAGCAACAGTCTATTTTCTCACTGAACAGATTTGTCGTTAGCACTGCCTCAGGTAACCTCTTAACAACTGGGCCTTCTCAACACAGCAGTTAGGTCTAAGTTTAACTTTGAAGCAGACTTCAATCTATTCTGAACACACTGATCTGTCTTTTAGATTAGCACTGTCCAACTGGCTTAAGCTAAACAAGCAAACTGTTCTCAAGTTGATAGGCCTTCCTAGTTAAATGTTTAACTAAATCAGTTTAAAATTACATTAACTTGGAACAGTTCCTGACAACGGCTAAACCCTCTCATTTTTTATAAGAATGCAGTGAAATCAATATATCCTTTCATTAGCTGATATAAAGAATATACCTTCCCCCTGCCACAAAAAAAAAACAAAAAAAAAAGGAAAAAAGTTAACTGCAGACTTCAGGTAGTGATCATCAGTCTTTAGACACTGTGATCATACAAAACATTACCAAAGATAAACCCATTTCTAGTTTAGATAAATAGCTACAACTTTTGGGCCAACAAAACTTTCTATACCTACAAATTTAAAAAACTGCTTCAAATCCTTCATCTTCTTTAGAGAGTGGAAAAGAAATTATATTCCCTGTCAACACGATACCTGTGCGTGTACATGGGTAGACCAATGCCTTTCATTAACAGGGAAAAGATGATCTTAGAGAAGCACAAAGTTTCATTTAATTGGGGCAGGGGAAGAAGCTGTTTCAGATATACAGCAGAATTCTGTTAAGTTAGCTTTTAAAAATGTAATTGTTTTTGTTCAACACACTTAGAATTTCCTTATTGTATAAAATAAGCGCAGGTTCTGCGAGTCCCTGTGGCACAGCTAAGGATTTATAAGGACCCAGACCAACAGGTGTGGTTTGTAGGGCTCGTTTCAGAATCACCACTGGCTCTTGGCACGGCTGAATCCCCAGAGCTGTGTTTGCCAGGGTATCTCTAGCGAAGTCTGAAGGAGCCAGATGACTTCTCAGGCCCTGTAAAGGCTTTTTTTATGGAGACTTGGAGCGTATTTATGTGCCGCGTGCCCCCCCCAGCCTGTTAAGAGAAAGAATTCAGTGCAGGTTTCCATTCTTATCTTAACACTCACATTTGTTTTGCAGATCCCCTTTAAAAAGGCTGTAAATGTGCTATGGGGCTCAATTCCTGGCATGAGCCTAAACCTTGCAGCAGGTTTCAAACACGGGCTGTTGTGTGCAGGGCCGGGGATGCACTCTGCAGGGCAGACGTTTGCTTTGCACGGCCCCGAAGCCTAAGCAGAAGTCATTCCTCACAAAGGAGCCGGCACTGAAAGGCAGCGTGGGGCAAATCCTTCTTGGTATAAATGAGAGTGTGTCCCCTGTTGTTTTAAAACCAAATAGCCACTGCTTGGAGCACTGCTTTAATCCAGGGGGATTGGGTCAGATTGTCACTACTGAGTCCTGTATTACCAGTGTAATGGTATTCAGATGATTACTGGATTCACCCAGACTAACACAGTGTGCTTTAAACATTCAGGCTGAATATTATTGTACATCTCTTACCTCTAAACCCATTTCCATTGCCACTGGAGCAGGCGGGAGAAGGAGACCCTTGGGGTCTGATGACAGGAGCAAAGGCACTCTTCTGTTTGACAGCAGGAAAGACGGAAGAGGAGAATGGAAGGATGGAAGAAGTGCTGGAGGAGCCAACTGTTGGACTTGAAGACATTACTGCAAAAGACAAAAGTGAATTCTCATCAGAATCGGGATTATAGACATTTGTTAAAACAGTTTAAAGTGTCTACAACTTCTGAGGACTCGTTTTACTGCTTAAAGAAGGTCTCATTCTCACGTTGACTTGGCTGTTTACAATCAGTCTGAAGTAGAGAGGTAGTTATATTCCATAGTTCAGGAAAGAGAGTGCTTCATTCTTTTAAAATGAAGGATGAGGATATCAGAAAATGGTGAGTCAGCGAGGGAGAGAGAGAGTCAATACGAACAGTGCAGTAACAGCCTGTCCATTTACAGTCTGTGCTTCTGACAGCCCCAGCTTTTTAAAAATGAACATTTCCTTGGTTGGAGTGGAGGGGAGATGTTTTAAGCTGTTGCTTAGATTTGAATCTAAACTGGCATCTTTTTTTAAAGAACTATTAAAGAAATAATTAAATATTAAATCATTAAGTAAATAGCTATTTAACTGTTCATTCTTTTATAGAGAAAGGTAGGTAGGCAGATAGACAGATAGATAGATAGATATTTTACACACACACTCTTGCCAGATGGAAATCAAGGCATGAAAGGAAGAGCGACTTGCTCATGGTAAAACTAGTAACTAGAAACGTAACTTCCAGCACTTCATTCCATCGTTGTTACATTTCTGGTTTCACAGGAAATTAATCCACAATTCAGCTCTTAGTTATTGTTAACACAGTTCATACACATGCAGATTATTTTAGAGTGGCTTTTAAATAGGATTTGGAGTAGTCTCTGTGCTGAAAGTGATGGCTACTTGCTTCATCATCTAAAGTTGCATTTACTTCATTTCTCGCTGGGGCCTTTGCCACGTAGGAATCTGTATAAGGATAAAAAGTGAAGGAAACGCTAGTGGGATTCAGTATTCCTCTATTCTTCTTGAAAAATGGGAATGTTTTCTAGTTCATACTAAAAAATACAACACAAATCAGGACCTTTTACAAAAATCCTCACTAAGTCTTGAGGACTTCTCTTGGAAGACATCACTTGCTGCATTTTCTGATGTGGTAAATGAACTTAAGTGGGAGCAAGATCAAATATAAAAGCAGCAAAGCACATACATCCGTAGGGGGATCCCGTTGGAGAGCCGTTAATGAATCCGGGCGAGCCGGGAACGCCCAGGTTGGACATGGGGACGTTGCTGTAGCCGTTCATGCTGTTGCTGGAAGTGCTGTAACTGGACTGCTGTGGTGTGGAACTGGACGAGTAACCTCGCGGCGAGATGCTGCTTGTGTTACGAATGTAGCCTAAAAAAAAGGGAACACATTTCAAAGCACGTGGATTTGGCTCAGAAGTTTCTCCTGCATATTCCTTGATTAAATAAGTTACTTATTTAAAGCCAGATTAATGAACACATTTAAGCAAGTACCATTAAATCCAGTGTGGATTTACACAGCACATGTTTTCAAGTTAAGCAATATTACATTTTAAAGCAATGTGGGAAACTAACTTTTTGAAGTGAACCGATGTATATTTTTCTAATCAGATTTGATTTGTTAAAAGTTGAAGTTTGTTCTAAGATCTGGAAAAAACACGTTTTTCTGAGGTTGAATTTATATGTGGTATTTTCTATGATTTTCAGGATAGGTTATACTTTTCAAATTATTGATGAATTACAAATAAAGCAATGTTTAACATTACTAAGGGGAAATTATAACCCCTATACAGTTAGCAGCTTGACTTTAAAGATACTCTACTTGGGGGAAAGAATAAACTGGATAAGTAAAAATCGTTTTTTGTCTTAAAAGAAAATTCACAAATATTTGAGAACCAAAATCTAGCCTCTTTTTTCTCTCCAACACTATAGCTATCAGCATTAAAGTACAAGGCTATTATTAGAGCTGCAGAAGGTTTTTTCCACAGAAAGCTTTCATTAGAAAGATGTGATCCAACAGCTACTTTAAAAGTGGTTATCATTTAGATATCAAGTTATTGCTGCCCATTTATGATGAAGTTCTAATTCAGGGCTGGTAAGACCTTATTAGAAGAACTAGCAAGATTAGCTACATGACTTTTGACGTGGCATATGTAATATTAACTTCATATGACATGGTTTTACTGCCCCAGAGTGTTAAACAGACACAGCTACTCATGCAGTCAACCACACACGGTATGTTACTAAAGTTCTAAAAATCAAAATATTCGAGAGTCAAAAAATGCCCAAAGTTGATATTGCTCCCATGATGTATTACCATAATATGTCATTTTATGGCATGTTTTCCTAGCAGCAATATGTCTGTCTGCAGTAAATGTAATACCTACAACATATGCAAGTTGGTAAAATTAACAATAAAGAAGCAACCTTGGGGAAAAAAAAAGAAAATTCCCCACCTCTTTAACTGTCAGGAGTTTTTTTCAGTTGTTGTCCTTGTCTTTTATGAAAATAGAGATATAAAAAAAAAAAGGTATTGAGGGGAGCAGGAAGAGAATTCAGGGTTAAGTTGGTATCAAAAAATACTCAGTTCTTTCAGGCATAGCTCATCTGCTGACTGGAACCTCTGCAGACATCGTGTCCTCCACAACGGCAGCACCGCGTCCGTTTCCAAGGCGGACAGTTTAAAGCCACCTTACTGCTCATGAGCAGGTAGAGAAGTGGAGAACCTACCATGAAAGCAACTGGGACTCGGTTCTTCGTTGCTCACGCTAACACTATCCCCCTTGCTCACCTTGGTTGTTCCCCTGGGTTGACTCCGAAATGCTGACTCCTAACTGGCTGCCGTAGGAGTTAATTCCCATCATACTGCTGTGAGCAGGAGAGCTGGACAGGGCAGGGATCTGCGCGGGATTCCTCGGCACGCTGTAGAGAGCTTCTGCAATGTCTGCAGCTCGTTTCAGAATGATGTCCTGCAGAATGACAGGGACGAGGTCAGAAACACACGTGGAGACGTTTGCTGGTGTTTATTACTAAACCTGGCAGTGCACCACCCCCTGCTGAGAGCAGCCCTTCTCACCTGGTTGTTATGTGGCGTCCCATACAGCGCTTCAACGAGGTCAGCAGCTCGTTTCAACAGCATTTCCTGGAGGATGAGCAGATGCAGAAAATTGATGTTTTTAACAGAAAAGGATTTTGGTGCAAATAAAACCATTTTCTGAAGCGACTAGTGTTTGTGCGTGGTCATTCTGAAAACTGGGTCCCTTAAAAAGCTGTTATTTGCCACTCAGCTGAAAAAGTGACCCCCCTCACAGTATCTCAGACCAGACATCCAAAATCATCAGTCGCTCTGAAAGCGTTGATGTGTGCAATGGAACCATCCCAGCATCAGCGTGCCCAGTGCTCCATCCTTCTCCGGGCGCTCTCCACAGTCCTGAAGCTGCTTCCAGCTCACCAGCTTCCAAAGTGGAGACAATTTCCAGATATACCCAGTTTAAAGAGGAACTCTCCTCCCTACTGAATTTCAATATATTCTTTTGCATAGAGACAAATTAAAATCTGATTAATCTCCCCGTTCATTTTTTTTCCCTCAATAATGGTAATCAACCAAACAAAACACTTTAGCTAATAGGTATCACACTACCTCTGGCTGTAGGGAAAAAAATTACACAGTGTACTACCTGAATACAACAGTCTCCTCACACAACGATGGTAACAGTGCTTTTAGTGCTGCACTAAAATGTAGGAATATAGTCATTAACGCCACTCGAGGTGCTGCATCAACACAGCGTGCAGGATTACACGTCCGTAAAATCCTGAGCTGGTTCAACACATGCACGCTGCAGTTGCTGATTGGACCTCTGCAACAAATTCCTTATATCTATCGTTTAGGGTCAGAGATTTGCCAATATGGATAAATGCAAAGGACCATGAATATGAACGAGGAAGATATCTGCACTGGACTCAATTTGAGCAGCAAAAGTTCACAGACAGTGTTTGAGCTCTAATAAATGAGAATTACTGGTAGGCGTGGGTTCTCTATGACCACAGTCTTGTTAGGACCTACAACTAATTGGCGAACGTCTGTTCAGATGTAATTGTCATTTAAGATACAATTTTTGTCTGTTTTGTGAGTTAGAAGTGAAAGAATATATTTCATGGGCTCGCTGAAATGCTTAAAAATATTTTACCTTAGCTAGTCTTTCAGGGTCACCAGGATGTCTTGGGATGACCTTCTGCAGTCTTTGGAAACCATAATCTATGGTAGGTTCATTTAAAGCTGAAAGGGAAACAGGAAAAAGAAACCCACCATGTTATGTACCTCTTCATATGCCTTTTAACTTGCATTACCTAAGAAAGATGGATTTCACAGCTTCGCCGCAGAAAACCTTTCCTTGCCTGGGCTCCTAGAAGGTGCCCATTGCCATTGCCTGCTCACTGGGTGTAAGGCAGGCTGAACAGTAAGCTAAGCTTTACAAGAACTTCTCCTTGAGGATCCTGATCTCTTTTCAAAGGTAACAGTCTACCGCTAAGACAACTGGGACAAGCTGTTCATGTTGGACTGGGTTACACAGACCAGGGCCCCTGGCTCCCAGTGCCCCAACTCCAGCCATCCACTTGTACAGATGTTTCTGCCGTTGCGTTTAATGAACTGCATGGTGCTCCTGGACAATCCCTCGCCGTGTCTGTAATTTGTTAAACACAGAACTGGTGATATCGTTGTGCTTACAGCCAAGCCTTGAAGGAATTCTGTGCATTCATGTGTCTAGACGTGTGTGCACACCCCCTGTGCCTGCCTGTTCTGCTGAAAGCACGTGCTCATTTTCGGCCAGCATTTCGGAAAACGCATTCAGAGGCAGATACGTTGAAGCAAATGACAAAATTTATGTGAATGATGCATGCTACTTACAAAACCTCTAACTGAAAGTGTTCCAAAGAGTTACGCTAGTGAGTTTGGCTTACTCAATAATGGAACAAAAGCACAACTTCGGCCCTTAAAACGGCTCCAGTTTCCCATGCTGACTTCTCACCATCTATCAAAGGCTGAGTGAATAATGTGAAAGATACAGCAGGGAAGCGTTGTCACAAAATACTCCTTTCTGGATGGATGTATTTACCCTGGACAAAATGGCTGTGACAGTAATACAGCGAGTTATGGCACAAATGCAAATTAAACAGGTCTTCCACTGTGTTCACTACACAGCCAGAAATCAAAAGTCCCGTATTTGCTCATCGAATAAACACATTACACACACACACACACCCCCCGCCCCGATATTTTGCCATCACAAAGTAGGGCACAGCTATTCATTAGACACATTAACTTCTTCAATTGTGTGTGGCTATTATGCACACACAGCCACTTCACTGCAATGATGTTAATCTCCAGTGGATAAAACCAAGATATTTTGACCCAGATCCTCAGTTAGTAACAGCTCGTCGAGCCCTACTGGCATGGCTGAGGATTTCAAAGAACTTCAGACGCTTTAATACTCTCTACTATGAAATCGTGGCCATAATAAACTGATTTCTGATTATTCAAAACTAAACACCAATTCAGACTAATACAGAAACCCCAAGTCAGTTCCTCAGCGTTCTGCATGCTCATGGGCTTTGACTGCCTCTAATACATCAGGATTACTAGTGTTTACTAACACAGTTACAGGTTTTTAGAATTTCTTTATCCTTCAGAACGAGCATTATAACTCAGATAACACGTTCATGCAATCACATGCTGTGAATCCTGCTAAGAATTCCGTGACACATTTAATAAGTAACACACGTAAGTCCGTTAGCGCTGTCCTCATTCAGTGCTACTGTCCTCTATCCTCTTGTTACATTTATGGTTCTTTTGGAAAAAAAAAAAAAATCAAAAATAAAAAACTTGTGACATCAGCACAGCTGAAAACACCTGGTTCCAAGAGACATTGATGGCATTTCTTGAATTTTCCAAAATATACTCAGCACCTTACACGATAACCGTCTCGGACACCAGAAGAATGACACTCTCAAGCGAGACAGACTATTTTACTGATCCAGATTCTGTTTATCTGTGTCTGTCTTTGGTATAACAACATGAAGGTAAAAGGTCATATTCCCCACTGAGATACACTTTATATTTACTTTTTATTAAATAATTATGGCATGGCATGAAGTTTAAATATTACAGGAGATAATCAAGTGGGAATTGAGCAGAGAAAACCCAGACCTGAGAATTTAGTCTTGGCTATACTTAGAATGTCTTTGCTCTCCACTGGGAGCCATTCTGGTTTGCTTAAGGAGTTTAATAATACACATTTCAACTGCCACAGAATCCACATCCCATTTGGGAAGAGGGTTTTTTTTGGGGGGATGTTTTTTTTTTTGCCAATAATCCTGAGAGTTATAGGCCAATTCTCTCAAGAGCCTATACATCACTACATGCCATTTCTCTTCTTGATTACAAGTCTAATCAGCTAAGTTATATATCTTAAGCTGAGCAAACGCAATGTAAAATATATAGGAATTTAAACATATATGTATACATAGTTCACTAAAAATAGCTAATGGGAATATACAAAATGCTAATTCAGGAAGAAGAAATTGGCTATTATTCAAGAAACATTTTTCCAAAGGACTGACATGGACATTTTCATTCTGATAGATAAATAGCAGCAAATCGTTTCTCCACAATGTTGAATTGTTCTAAGAACTCAGCCATTTTGAATCAATGTATATATTATGTCTTCCAGCACAAGAGATTTTCTGTACAGCTCACAACAAAATTGCCTGCTTCGAGTTTTACTCATTAACGAAACAAAATTATCTGTGTCATGAAATCCTGTTAAAAATCAACATCCAACATTTGCACAAGTAAATGGTACCTGTTCAACCGAAGGGCAAGCTGTAGAATCCACCAGCAAGTTTAAACAGCTTTACCACAATACCACTTCCACTGAGAAAAGAGCTACTGGACCAGCAGTGATTTATCTATGTGTTACATAGAAATATGCCAAAATTATATCCAAATGCTTTGGGGTTCACGGATTCAGAGACCATAAAGGGGTGTGACCCAGAAGCAGGCTGCTTGTCATTTCCTACAGCTCAGGTAACTGAAATGAAGCCCCCATGAAAACTGATTTAGGTACAGCAAAATCCCTTTGGCAACTCTTAAATCCAGTGTTTGAGGCACAAGGGGTCCCTTGAATTTCCCAGAGCATAGCTTAAAAAATTGTGCATAACGTCCTATAACATATACAAAAAAAAGAGAGTAACCATCTGGTGAATAAATTGCTGGTTAGTCTCTAAACCTTGCTCTGGCACGACTGTTTTAACAACAGAATTGTTACACTCAGCGGTAGGGAGAGGTCTAAATGCCCCCCAGTCTGCCAGACTCACGGCTCGAACAGAATGTGGCACAGTGTTGCCTCTTTTATGGTGCTCCTTTCCTTTCAAAATCCATGCTTTCATTTTAAATATGACTCTCCAGCTATTATGACTCACTGGAATAGGAGAAAAAAACAATACTCACACTCGAGCAGCCGATGCCATGACATCTGTCTGCATTTGCAAAACTTGAAAGAACAGCTCAGTCCCATTCATCTCAATGGGGACCAGCTCAGATACCCAATGATAACGGTGCTGACATTTAAAGTATTAATTATTTCACCACACATCAAAGCACATAAGACTGCTGAAGGAAGATGATGTTATGAAGATCTGCACAATTTACCATGAGTGACAGCTCGTTCTGATATTGCCAGTGTATGCCTTGGGAGATGCGCACTCTCCTTCTCCACCAATCAAAAAAGGGCCACGTTCACAGACCTTAGCAAAGTTCTGCAGCTCGTCTTTGCTTTGCTCCACGAGGCAGACCAAAGGGCAAGTCCTCTGTCTGCGAGGTACGAATGAGAAGAAACCAAGTACGCGTACCCCTGGAAACATCCTGAGCCCAGAAAACTGAGCCCGAGGGAGCGCAGTATTTGGAGCGCGATGCCTAAACTTCTTAAAGATACTAACAGAGAGAAAAAGGCACCACTGCTCTTAAAGTCTGAATTCCAACTTTGCACTAGTGACTA